TCTTCACAGTATACTACTCAATAATACTGAACCTTTGCATTTGCCTGAAACAGATTTCGTTTGAGATGTGTCGATGAAAATTCTACTGTTTTCAGAAGGTGACATCAAACAACGACATAAAGTTCTAGTCAGTTAACAGTATCCAACTCTGTTGAGCTATCCGGTTTTATGTACGAGACCTGATTGAGGAAGGCAGTACGATTGTGAAGTGTTCCCATTATTGTTTAACATACAACGACTAATATCTAATCTTTTGTGATTTCATTTTTATTCGTTGTACAGATGCTCTGTTGATATAGCGGTTCATGAAGATAGATCAGCTGATGCAAGAAAATAATCTACCATCTGGACTCGAGTTGATTGACAAATGAATCTGAAAATAGTACTAAGTGTTTGGAAATCGGACTTCATATAGGATGAGGTATTAGAGAAAATGAGTGATTATGTATTAGTGTGGAGTATGCGAATATTATTTGGATACCAAATTGTATTGTTTGGGTTAAAACTAGGTGGTTGAATATGTTGTTGTGTCTCATTCCATTGTGCACAACAAACAGAGTCTAATCTACTACTTTTATTCACGTAAACGTACAAGGCAATCTTCAAATGAGATGTGATGTTAGCTCAAACACATCACTAATATTTCACATCGTAGATGCACGACATTAATTGGTGCATAAAAAGCCTCAAAAATTGTCAACAGACAGGAAATATCAAGACTACTTCATTTTCATACGTCAACTCATCCTGATAATTTTGAAGAAGACAAAGAACAGTGAATAATTCAGTTTATCTAAGCCATCATCGTCCACATGGGACTGATTGGAAATATCTTCTATTGTGGAATGAAATGTTTATGGATGGATCGTTGACTGCCTTCAGTTAGACAACGGTAACCAATCTAGAAGCACTGAACATCTGTTACAGCCTAGTAAGGAGCTCGTTAGCGGTGTGCACACTTCACCATGACAAGGATAGAAACCCTCATCTTTGTGTTGACATGGTGAATGGATCACCTTAGATGCACCGAGTTGCAATCGAACATTGTGTGATCAAATTGAATGAGATATTAGTTAGTTTGTGTACCACATGGTGAGTCATGCAGTTCTACGAATATTACTCCACTCCTCTTCTCATATATCTACTCACAATACGCATTCATGCTTCTGTATCGAAAAATGTAAAGGATAGACTAGTTTGAGAAGTTCCACTAATGTGAATGTGGAAATATTGGAGTGAATAATGTGGATTTTTTCTCGTTGTGGATTTTCATGTTCGGATAACCGGCTTATCATTCTGTGTTAAAGTTTCGAAACGTTCAGTACGTCCAATCGGAGTAGTTGTGTTCGGTTCGATTTACATTGGATTGGTATAGTTTCCTGAATATCCTACTTTCCAGAAGGGTGGACGAGTATCTACAAGGCAATATTTTCTCGATACACTCATACTGATCAACATCGTTCATTCTCATGGCTTCTCACGTCTTCATTACACAATGAATCGTGCTCAGTGTATCAGACACAAAACTAGAGAGTTATGCTCTGAAGATAGCGTAGAATGATGAACACGTAAACTAACGAACTCACCACTGAACAACCGTTATCCAAACTGATTCGTCGAAGGTTATTTCTCCGAATCGAGAAATGAGAAAAATGTCGACGCTGTCAGTCAGAAAACACTCTTCCTAAGACCTGATTGTAGGGAGAACATGGTGGGTGACATATCGACAAGTCGACGTGGAAGATTGACTGAATGGAGGTTCGACGCTGTTAAGTTTCATGTCACTTTGCTGACACAGTCTCTCGCTCTCACTTTGCAGATGGTAAATATCGCATCGAAATAGAAGAAACATTCCCGTTTTTGCATCAAGCTCCGAATAGTTTGCCGGAAGGAGTAATATTACTACTCCCTTACATAGCTGCAGATGTCTGCACCGACTTCAAAAAGCCGAACCTATGCTTTCAAAAGAGCTGTGTGCAGCCTACTTAGTTATCTTTGCCCACTATAAGGTTGACGCATACCACAGCCACACACCAATCCAACATTGACACAATCATTCCGACATAAAACATTTCTCCTATTCAACATCGTATTATTAAATTGGTCACAGTACACCACTCTTCACACATTTAACATACTTAGGTGAATTTCCAACTCCACAAGTGATACATTTTGCAAGCAATCCAGACACATGAAACTCACTATTGGATTCACAATTGACACATAAACACATTACATCGATCACAGTTGTGCAATAATTATGGAGTCTAAATTTCAGAGCCTGATGATTAACTTATTGAAAATGTTTTCCCATTCTAATTCCACTTTATTATCTCACTTGATAATTTTATGGGACTAATTCCCACAACAGTGATGGATCTGGTTGGAAAATGAGAATTCATCTATGAAACAATGCAAACATTAGGGATCTAATGAAGATAAATTCAGTTGCGCGATAGTCAGTAGCTACGAGAAAAGTAATTCCTCCATGTGATTAACGAGAATATGCGGATCTGTTGTCCGCAACACAATGAGGTAGATCACTAACACTAAAAAATCGACAGTCTAGTCGTTCATGGAGGAGATGAACTACGAACAAGTTGAGTATTGAAGATGGATGCAACTTTGCAAAAAACAGACTAAGGGGGTGTCGAATTACAAGCAATACGAGTAAGGTGTTCATCAGTCCTCGTTTGGCCATTTGTTCGACCATTTTTATTTCAACATGCAACCTATTTACAATGGTAAAAATATTTGATTGATATGAAAATCTGTCATCATCAGTTGACGGTGACCACTTTGTAGGGGATGAAATCACAACGATGAGGCAAGTGTTTGTGGACAATCCCTAACCAAATAGTGATCGTTGATGTGCAACACTGTGAAATGTGTGAAATTGATGTTCAAATGTGTTCTTATTGTGGAATTCATCGTTGGGACTGAATCAGTGGAGTGATTGTGCACACAACATGGAGAACACGTTCAGCAAGAAAATATCTAGTCATGGAGTAGTTCTGTGAGGCCAACAATGTATATTCGAAATCCACAAATGACAGATATTCAATCACCAATTTCACCTACAGCCTGAATCCCTCATCAAATATATTGAAACGTGTTAATAAACTGGAAGATTTAATTTAGATAGGGTGATAAGAAGACACAGTTTATCAGGATTATGTGATATATTAGCGCAATACATTTCAAACAACCTAATCACACGTATAATGTTTCAAAACACCTATACATAAAAATAAAAATGTCAACTAGACAAATGGAGGTTAGGAGGAGCCAAAGATAATAAGATAGATATGAAAAAAGATTTGAAACCTCATCACGCTGAATAATATGCTGATATTACCAAGAAAGATTTAAGTTGAGAACAAACTTAATTTGAATACATAAAGTGGTTTGAATTTTCATTTGGCTGAGGCTTTAATAAACCCTAGTATACGCCCTTTAACACATTTTGTACAACAGCACAAAAGACTTTTTAAAATCAATCTTATGACCTGTTTCAACTACATGTTAGGCAATAAAAGATGATGGCTGTTTATCATCTACTCCTATTCGATCATTTGATTTTACTTGTTTCCGTAAACATTTGGGCACATGTTCGGATACCCTAATTTGCAGATCATGGTTACTCCTCCCTGTGTATGTGTGGCCACACGCACACATAAGCGCGCACTTAAATTGATAGAAACAGTGTGATATGACGCAATCGCCTTCATGTCTTTTAGGTTTTGGTGAAGCATGGGCCTTGTTTTTCCCCTGATAATGACCTTTTCTATGTAGTACGTTTTGTTAGCAACTGATTTACCACTTGTTTCAGTAAAAGGCTATTTGAATCACCTTTGAACAGTAAGGTTGTGTAGACAGGCTGTTTTGTGCCAAGGCTGTAGTGGGCCTCACTATACCATCACCTTCCTATCTATTTATGAATTTTAACGGATAACCACTTTCCATTTGTGTTTTGTTCAACAACCTAACGTCGTCATCAGTATCATCGTCTGTGCAAATAAGATTAATCCTGTTAAATAGGCCCACTATCATAACCCTTTTGCACTGCACTGGGCAGTAACTATAATAAATATGATATTGGCCTGTCCAAGCTGGCTTTCTAAAAATGGATCGTTCGACGGAACTGTCTTCTCTTCTACTTATAAGTATATCTAAGAAAGAAAGTTGGTCACTCTTCTCCTCTTCCCATAACAGATTGATGCAGTTTTGATAAACGTCAAGTTTATTCAACAAACATGTCATGTGGTCCTTTCATTCACAGATAACTATAATATCATCCACGTATCTCTTATAAAGTGACATGCGTTCGACTAGGTATTCAGCTACATTCACGGTACTTGCCATGAACACATCTGCTGATAAACAATCTAGACAATCGAGTGAAATGGGATAGATGGAGTGTGGCTAACAGTGGAATTTAGGCTGAGCGTGGACTTAATGTAGTTTCATTTCACCTTTTGCAGATTGCCTCCACCCAACCGACGAGTCCGAACTAGAACAAAACGCGTGTCCTAGATTCCACTACTAGCCACATTCCATCTATCCTACATTAGTTTGTGTCATAATGGTTAGATCGAGACAATCCTCATACGATGTCTATGTGTCAACCAAGACTGGTCAAATTACAGTCAAATATACCAACAACGGGATAATACAAACTAATGCAAACTGCATTGTTCAGTGAATTGATATGTACACTTTCCTATAATTATGAGGTCACAACAGCGAGGCATGGCGCGCACTTGTCTACTAACAACACGTACCTCTCAACAGTTCGAAATATCACAAAAACTAACGTCCGTTCATTACACAATACAAAGCGTACATGGAAAACACTATTTAGAATGAATAGGTTTTATTCATCTCGAATTCAAACACGACTATATTACAGTGAGTTGAATTGAGAGGTGTGTGGAAAAAATGGATAGTGGACAGTGTGACACAAACAAGTTAGAATCATCCACAATTCAACTGGTACCTCAGTAAGTGCTTGCATAAGTGTTTGGTTTGTAAGCATTGGGTTTGTAAGTATTGGGTTTGTAAGCATTGGGTTTGTAAGCATTGGGTTTGTAAGTATTGGGTTTGCCACCTTTGCCACCTTTGCTACCACCCTTGCCACCGCCATGACCCTTTCCATGGCCATTTTCTTTACTACCACCCTTTCCATGGCCGTTGCCACCGTAGCCTTGATCACCACCATAGGGAGCAGGGAAAGCTTCATCGAAGCCATATCCACAGCCTCCACCATTGCAACCACCACCATAGCCGCCACCGCCACCACCACCACCACCACCACCGTAACCACCACAATCGTCACCATTGCAACCACCACCATAGCCGCCGCCACCCTCATAGCCACCACCACCGCCACCACCACCACCACCATATCCGCCACCCTCATAGCCACCACCACCACCACCGCCATTTCCACCACCCTCATAGCCACCACCACCACCACCACCACCACCATATCCGCCACCACCATACCCACCATCTCCATAACCGCCACCACAATCACTACCGTAGCAATCACCACCGTAATCATTCGGACTTTCATGTGGTATTTGGTAGGCGGTGGCGTAACCAATGGCTACTAAGAAGACGAGTGTGAGCGACGATCTCATTTTTCCAACTGTCTGTGTTGTTGTATTCGGTGTGATGATATGTAAACTAGTGTGATTTGTCATTTATATATTGTTTTTGATTATGGATTGGAAGAGTTGTGCCTCTCTAAGTGCATCATTATTCAATACATATTACGCTTGTGCACTCTACTGTTGAACTGTCTTTTGTGTAATCGTTAATGATAGTTGAGCGTGATAGTTAAAAATATCGATGAAATAGTTAGTTCACAAATTACTCACTATTTTAATTCCACCGTTGGAATTCGTTAGCCTGTGTTTTATCGGAACCGTTGATTAAGTCTTCACTGAATGAGAACAAACTCTTTTTGATGACACTGAAAAGTGGTGTATTTCTGGACACACAAATTTTAAATAAACAATTTAAAGAAAATTTTATTTAAACTTAACCTGTTGACCTCATGGACGATGTTGTAACGACCTTAAATAAGGGATTTCTGGCAGTCGACAGACCATTCTTCATATTGTCATATTTCATACACGACAATATCAATTAATGCAGTAAACCAGATACTAGTAATAAAAATACTTCGTTTGTTCATGCTACATTCTCTCAGGAAAGTGTCATATGTCAGTAATTTAGGGACAACAAGATACGATCATCATTGGATGACCATAAGACAAGCCAGTTTTTCTTTCATATTTAAACTCATTATTAGTATTTGCTTAACATAGTTTATCCTCATTGTTGAGACACGTAGAGTTTAGTTCGATAGTATGAGTGCCACCTGAATACTTTCAACGTTCATCTTACTCGAAACCGCTAAAGTGAATTGAACACTTTTAACCAACCCCATTTTCTCTCACTCATAATTTGTTTTTACATGAATGAGATGACGTTGTTCAGTGGTGGATTCCCGTGTTCCAGTGTTATGCAGAACTGTCTCAATTCTCATAGTTGATTCATTGTGTTAGTAGCTTAAACCTGAATAGATACACACTCACGTATTGTTGGGTGTGAATTGTGGAAGTGTTTGCAGATCAAGTTGGAATTGTCTGTAATGGCTTATGAACAGAAGAATCTCACACGACAAGTCAAAGAGCAAATGAATTCCTCAGGTTGATTTACAGTTTGATATTTTGAAGTCTACTGCATTAACTCATGAAATTTTTCCAAGAAACCTCACAACACTCTGAGTAAGCAATTTACTTAGTTCATCGGTGACAAGTACGTTTGTCCATACACTGATTGGTATTCATGGTAAATGCTTTTGTTGAATTCACATATAGAGTTTCGAACTGGATGTTGTGAATACACTTACAGATTAATGGAATGTGTTATCGGATAATGACTTTCTGGATTGTTATAACCCTTATTTCATTTACTGAGATAGTCATGAAACAATTAGTGGACGGAATAGAATCTAATATTGAATGAATTAGGTTACAGCGTGTAGGAATGGTTGTAAACTGGTGTTTGCTCAATAAATGACTAGTTTGCATTATACCATTCATTTGGTTTCATTTGATTAATACGGGTACATTGGTGAACGTCGGCAAAGAGCACAATCGCGATTATTATTGACTGTCAACTTGTGTCTAGCACAAACACGTAGTCTAGAAAACCATCATGTGTATTCCGAAATTCAGTCCAGTAGAACTAATTATAGTGCAAGGCTTGTAATATGCAAATCGTGTTGAAGAATTTGAGTAAGAGGATTTACTAAAATAAGGTATTAGTATAGGTATTAGTAATAGTGATAGAGGAAAAAGAAGTTTTAGTGATAGTAATAGTCGTCGTCGTAGCAATAATAATAACAATAATAACAATAATAGTAATAATAGTATTAGTAGTAGTAGTTGTTGTTGTAGTGTGAGTAATAGTAGTGGTATTAGTGGTATTGTTTCTAGTGTTCGTAGTATTAGTAGTAGTAATATTTCTCCTTTCTGTTCGGCCAGTGTAGTTGCTTTGTCAAGTACACGCAAATTTATGAATACAATCGTCTGTAACATGAAAGGAGTGCTTGTCAACCTTTGATTGAGTTATTGAACATGTTTATTTATACAGAATTAATAGTTCGATTGCTGGATAAGTTCTGGCCAATGCAATGTTAAGCCTCCTTCCGATTGTGTTTGCGACGTCATCGCTTCTAAAGTTGAGATTTATAGATATCGGTTTTTCAATAGCTGTAGTCATTTCCCTCTTATTTCCTTTGGGATTTTTATATTTGTCAATAAATTTACGCGGACAACAGTTATCTGTTAGGTATTTTTCAACGTTCATCAGTTCTTCTTCCAGTTTATCTGTGGTATTGTGACATGTATATTCAGTGATTTTTATAACGACAAAATAAAAACCATATTTCTTCCGATTTGTCACAGTTTATATGTAACCACATTTATGTTGAATATCTATTGTTTCTCTGTAAGGAAACGGACATAATTGTTTGGTTATATACACACATTACCACGATTGTTAAAATGTAAACGCTATCTCCGCCGTCTGTTTTTCTGCTTTATTGGCTACGGTATTTGATTGAAGATTATAATAGTGTTATAACATCCTTTAGGCCTTCCCTTGCTACGTTAGAGTTTTGAACTGGATCATTATTAATCTTTCTCATTACGCCGTTGGTGCCACCACGTGCAGGGTAACCTTTGTTGGTCAAGTGAACTAATTTGTGGTTGTCATCTCAGAGAGCAGCTTACAAGTAACATTCATTTCATAACAACTGTCATCATTTTGTTGTTTAACATATCATTTATATTGTAACTGTAATTTGTTACCTTTTTGCTTGCAAATATTCATTCTTACCACCATTCTTTGTATTTCACTTTCTTCAGTCTGTTCTGATGTCTCACTATCAAGTATGGGTCAGGCAAATAATACTGCAGACCTAATAGTGATTGGAAATACTCTAATAAACCTTCTTCCTCACTCATAATCTTTTCACTTAGTAATTGTTTGTGTGCTTGCTCATAGAAATTTTGTGTAGCAGTATCATTCTCAATTACTAACCGCCATAATTAAATACTTAAGTTTCTAATTTTACTCATTTTCCGTAGTTTCTCCTGTTTTGTATGATTTTAATTTGTACATGGTCGGATTATAAAATAATGTTCAAGAGAACAAGAACGGAGATTGGTGCAGAATAATATATGAATTCATTTTATTTTGTTAAGTTCTTCATCAGCTGCTTACAACCTAAAATATTTGAAATTCAACATTATTACAGATATTGACATACTTGTACATAAGAGGGTGATTAAAGATGAACAAATGTATCATGATGTAGCGAAGATTTCGATCGAGTTAATGAGGTCATAAAATTCTTGTCTAGAATTGCCTCGAAAGTTTCAGAACATTGAAATAGTGGTTAGAACTCAAGAAGTTAACAAATATTAGATGATTGTGTAACTAAGTAAATGAAAATAAATTAATGGTAATAAAAAAAGATATGAATTGAAATCAGCCAGTTATGTATGATGTAATTTAAACTTCAGAAAGAGTGGGAATAATGACGTAATAAATAAATAAAGGGGGTTATTATTACCAGAGTAAAGAAAGATTTATTACTGTCTCTTTTTGTATACATAGGTCTGGGTTGAGAGAATTACGGATACCCGTTGAAATTTATTGAGAAGTATGTTAAGTATGTCAATATCTGTAATATCTCTGATTTTCAAATATTTTAGGTTGTAAGCAGCTGATGGAGAACTTAACGAAATAAAATGAATCCATATATTATTCTGCACCAATCTCTGTTCTTGTTCTCGTCAAGGTAACAAAGGGAACTATGTGTATATAAAACAATGGCCAGATGCTTATTGTCTATGTAAATGATTGATATTACTCAATGTTAGGTTTCCGATAGTATTGATTAATAGTTCAATGCTTTCAGGTGTTCAGTGGTGGTCTAACTTGGGCGACGAATGAATTCAACTTTTAAAATGACATCCATCAAGGCATTAATTGATTACTTGACATTATTTATTTGTTACTTATAAATGCTTTAAAAACAAATTTCCCACGTATTTTGATTTGTTTTTTCTAGTCCTGAGTGTAATGTAATGTAATAGGTTTCTTCAGTTATCTAGATGAAAAGTCGTTTTGTATTATATATTCGTGACATTATAATTGATGAGTGATTATGAGCGAGAGTAAAATGGTTTTGAGAAACATTAACTACTTACTAGTGTCAATAGATTTGAATCATAGATTAATGTAATGAACTAAGATCAGGTTTTAGAGTCAGAATTAGAATAGGGGTTTTCATAACAAAGTGACACGAACTATAATATCAAACTGTTATTTATCCATATAGATCAATGACCTTAGAGCCAAAATCTACCATTACCATTACCATTACGCCTGTTACTCCTCATGAAGGAGCATAGGCCGCAAACCAGCATTCTCCATCCAACTATGTCCTGGTCAATCCTTTCCATCTCCTTCCAGTTGTTATTCATCTTTTCCATATCTGATTCTATTTCCCGACGTAATGTGTTCGTTGTCTTTCCACTTTCCCGCTTCCCTTGAGGATTCCAAGTTAGGGCTTGCCTCGTGATGTAGTTTGGTGATTTCCGTAATGTATGTCCTATCCATTTCCATCATCTTTTCCTAATTTCTTCTTCAGCTGGAAGCTGGTTTTTCTCTCCCACAGAAGGCTGTTGCGGATGGTATCCGGCCAATAGATGTTGAGTATCTTTCATAGACAGCTATTTATAAATATTTGTACCTTCTTGATGGTGGCTGTTGTAGTTCTCCGCGTTTCAGCTCCGTACAGTAGAACTGTCTTGACGTTGGTATTGAGGATTTGGACTTTGGTAGAGCCAAAATCTAAGTCTCTGTTAAATCTGATTGGTTTTTTCAGAAATTATAGTTTTATCCATGTACATAAATCGGTAATCGATGCATTAACTAAGGATTAAATGATGAAATTTGATTTTCAGCAGTAATTTCAAGTTTAACTACCACTACGTAACTGAATGAATATACATCTCATGAATAATTTTATAATTTGTAGATTTTATAAGAGAAA